TACTTCATCTCTTTTTGTTACGTATAACAAAAAGGTGTACTGATGTCCTCTTTTTTCTACGTTTAATAAAAAGAGATATATTTTTTTATGGTCAAATATTATTGATATGTACTTTTATATTTTCAATATCAGAATAACAACGAACATAAATCAAAGCTAACGATAGTCAAACGCAGATGATCAGACGTAACATCTTAAAAAAAATAATCAAATTACGAATCCTCTGATAAATCTTCATTTTATGTGTGTATATATATATATATATATATATATATATATATACACACACACGCATTATATATATATATATATTTTATACATGTATACAATTTTAATATTGCACATTTAAACACAGAGAATGCATAAACAGCTTAGCATTGATAACTTCTATCTGCAACGTATGTATATTCACACATTATAGTACATATATGCAATATTGTACAATATTGCCTATATATTCACACATTATAGTACATAGGTATATGTACAAGTAATAGTATTGTACAATATTGCCTATGTGTGTATTATATTTAAGTACATCACTAATATTTTAACATGATTAACTTCTACGTATTTTAATTTCTACATATTAAACATAGCAAAAAATGATATAGCTATGTATATTATATGTGTAATATATCTATATATAGCTAATACATATCACATCCTGACCTAAAATGACATTGTATGACAGGAAAAATGCTATTATGTAGGCCCATGTGTCAATGTACACTGTCAATACTGAAAATCTATAGTTACGTATTTTCAGTACTCGCAGTGAATATCTAAATACAGTTGTAGTATCACTTTTTCCTATGATCAATATCATTTAGGGTTGAGTCGTTTCATATATAATATATATATACTTATATAAATGAATACGACATTGCACATACATAATATAACTCTTTTTACTCTGTCTAATAAAAAGAGATAGATACTTATAGTACTTATAGTACTTATATATTATTAATATGTCGACTATGTATCTAATATAGAAAATTGTATGTACATTATATAAGATAATTCTAACATTGTTGTAACATATAACAAAACATTATTAGTGAATATAAATTATAATTATATTTTATATGTATTAGGTGTTGGAATTAATTCGTAGCGTTTTTTAATGAAAGAATGTTATTTATTTCACATGAGCATTAAAAAATACATTAACTAGTATAATATTTTTTGTGTCATTGTGTATATACATATATATTATAATACACATAAAATGTAATTGTAATTCGTATTCATGAATGTCTTTTTATATAAAACGTTAGAATTACATTTTATATATCATTATACATATTATAATATAAAATTTTAATATTGCATAAAAATGGACATAGAGAATATCTGCATGAATATTCATATATATATATATGAATGGTGCTAAATAAAAAGTTATTATAAAAAGTATTTTTGAAGTGCGCAGCTAACGTAGAAAATAGATTAAATTTCTAAGGTCCGATTCTACAAATATAAGATTTACTTCAATTATGTTTTTTTTTTCAATTCTAAAATTGGAAAATTTTCCAAAATAAATCTTACATTGTGGAATCGACCCTAATATACGTCCCTGTTAAGATGGTAATGTAGGAAACGGAATAAAAATATCGATAATTAATCGATCGAATTTCCTGCATGATCATTAACTTCAGAGGGCGGCTGTATAATGTATAAGCAGCTTATACATTGGAAATGAAAACCTGTAATATCGACCTTGATCAATTTCGGCCTTCGCTCCAGCATCCCCTTAATGGTCGTAGACAAGTGCCGGCGAATGGAGACTCACGCGTGAGCTGTGTGGCGGGTACATTCGCTGGGGCTAATCGGGGGGTCCGGTTCTCGCGGACGAGGAGTCTATGCGGATGATGGTTAGATTGGCCCAGATTAACGTTAACCGGTCGAGACCCTCGCAAGATCTAATTGCTAGGGTCTACGAGGAGTTTGATTTGAGGCTAGTCGCGGTGTCGGAGCCGAATCGCGTTCCGGATGGCGATCGCTGGTTGGCCTCCACGGACACTCCTCTCTCGGCCGCTGTTATTTGGCAGTGGAGTCGCTCGAGGGTGCCGTGCTCTCCTCGTTGGAGGGGTACACGGTTCGCGGCAGTGGACTGGGGGGATATGATTGTTGTGTCATGTTACTTTCCTCCCAGTCTTAGTGATGGGGAATTCCTACGTGACTTACGCGAGTTGGAGGCGAAAATGCGTGAAGTGATTGGACGCCCGATAATCGTGTTGGGTAACTTTAACGCACGGGCGCCTGCTTGGGACCCCGAACAATCCAACAGGAGGGGAAGACTTTTGTTGGACTGATTGGGACTTTTAAACCTACAGTTGCTTAACGTTGTTTTAGAACCAACGTACGCATGATGTGTCATGCATCGATTTCACGTTGGCATCGTCCTCTGCGGCTAGGAGGATCATCTCTTGGCGTGTGAGATAGGAGGTGGAGTCCCTTTCGGACCACAAATACGTATTTTTTGAAGTTGATGCCTCTTTGACTGGATCCGTTATCGAAGGGACTGCCCTTAAGGTCTTTCCTAGATGGGTTATCGGAAAGGTCAATCCGAACCTAATGGAGGCTGCGGCGGTCTTTTCGGCTTGGAGCGATATTCCGAAGACGTTGTTCTGGGAGCGGAACGGATGGACCAGATACTCCGAGATATCTCGGATGCCCAGGAGGGGATTGTCGAGGAGACCCATCACTTATTGGTGGAACCAGGAGATTGCAGGTCTTCGCCGTATCTGCAACGCGTGCAGAAGGCGTCTCGTGTGTGAGGAGGAAAATCTCTCGGGAATCCCTATGCGAGCTTTGAGATGCCTTACGAGAGGCTAGACGCAACTTCAGAAGAGCGATCGTCCGTTCTAAGATAAAGGTATGGGCCGAATTGATTAACGATCTGGACAGAGACCCTTGAGGGATGCCCTATCGGGTCGTTCTTAAAAAGCTGTGTGCGGGCGGCGCCTCGATCGTGGAGATGCTCCCCTCTGAGACTGTGGGAGATATCGTCTCTTCCCGTCGGATCGTTCTCCACAGGACACTGATGTGACATTTATTTGGCAGGATCTCGCAGTTACGGTAGAGGAAGTCCTAAAGGCCGGATTTAAGATTAAGTCCGGGAAGGCACCTGGCCCGGACGATGTCGCGGGTGTCGTTGTTAAAGACACAATGAGGTATCTTGCTCCGTCATGGGCTAAATGCTTCGGATTGTCTCAGGGAGGGGCACTTCTCGCGTGATTGGAAGGGGGCCAGACTGGTGCTTATCATGAAACCGGGTAAGCCAGACCTTTCCCCGTCCTCGTACAAGCCTATCTGTCTGGTAAA